ATATATACTGTACATCTATGTATATAAAATTGCTTGTCCTGGCTGACTCATTCACTGACTGATTCATTATCGCCCAGAGCAAACCGATGAACCTAGAGTTTAAATTTGGTACAGAGTTAGGGTACGTCATGAAAACGCTCACTAAGAAGGGATTTTTCGAAATTACTCGCGGGGGGGAGAGGGAGAAAATTAAGTTTTAACCGGAAAAAGTTCTTCTACTGTACTATTTTACATGCAATTTTTTGTTACGTTTAGTCTTCATTAAGTACTTAAATGTATTAAATTAATGACATTTCAGACATTGTTATAAATATTTTTATATATTTCGATTTTTTAACCAAATGTTCGAACCTTTTTAAATTCGAATTTGTTATTGCATATTGGTTCGATTATAGAACGATTGTAAAAGTTCCAGAAAATTGATCAAATTGAAAATAGTTTGTTTGATTCTCAGCAATTCTCATCATTCTCGGCGGTAGGTGTTATATAACAATTAATATGGTTTTTGTAATACTGAATATAAATGAGGTTTGCTTGCAAAACCTCCGCGGGCGAAGTCGCGGGTAACAGCTAGTATATAATATTCATATATTAATTGTAATTGTTATGCATTCAATAATAAAGTTGATAATTCAATATATAAAATGTAAAAAACATGTACTGTGATAAATTAAAAATGAATTTAAAATTTTACAATTGTATTTCATTTAAAAGTTTTAATTATAGGAATAAACATTCCCTAACGGTTAATATAGTGCATATACAATTAACACGGTTAACATTTTTCTTACTTTTTCTGTATTCTCTTTCATATAGATTTATCTAAAAATTTTGTATTTTACATTCATGTAAAATAATATACTTATTCAGAATTACACGAATTATTTTTCGTGTAACATGAAATGTATCAAACTCGAATCACTGTTTAAGGTGCGATCTGAATGGCACTACATCTTATTATGAGTGAAACACTATTATAGAAACTGATTAATCAGGTTTTTTTGCAGGTCTGTGACTAACCTAATCTAATTTATGAAAAAAATTGATAATCGACATCAATACATAGTGAATTAATGTAACGTAGAGTTGTTCAAAAGTTGTTCCTCTAAAGATAATCGTATCGTGTGCTAAATATAAATGATTTATTTCTAAGAGAATTTTTCATGCATTTTTTCAATACGATATTCAATTAAACATCGAGACTATAAGTCGCTTTAAAGAGTGATTTTGTTCGTTGATTACACGACTTGTCGATTCCTTCGAAGATATCTCGTATCTGAAGTAATATATTGAAAACGCTGTACAATGATTGGTACATCTGTAAATTGAAAGTGATTTATTACGTTTAAATTTTTAAAAACGAATTACAAAAATACACATAAAACGCCGTTTCATTCATATAAATATACCTGGATTGGAAATTTTGTAGAAAGGATAAAATAACCTCCACAACTGATTCCGATTTGATTTTCCCGAAATTTTTTCATGAAATTCAACACCTGTTAATAATTACAAACGTGAAACTTCAATTTTTTGAATTATAAAATTTCAAAAGAAACTATGGATTTTCAAATTACCTTCAGGTTAACTTCCAATGGAAGAGGAATCAAATTGAATTTCCGAATTTCTTGAAAGGAATCGTAAGCCTGTTGTTGGAGAATTATACTTAATATGCTTAATAATTACTTATATACACAACTGAAATGAATATTTTGGACTTACCGACGTAAAGATACGAGAAACAGCAAATGAAACCGATACCACCAAACATATGCAGAGAAGAGAGCAAAGCACAAGAAGTATTCGTATGTACTGTACGTGGCTGATGTAGTGAATATTGCGTTGTAGAAGGAAAAGGATACGATATAAGCGTCTATTCCGTATAAAAGGAAGCAACTATTACCCCATATATCGTTCATTTGTGCAATAAAGTCGCACAGCTCTACATGTTTTCTCATTATATCGTTAATATGGTGTGTTGGATTTTGGGTCACGGCTAAATTCAACTGTCGCGATATTGCGTTGAATCTTTCGTACAGTAATGCGCTTAATAGCACTATTGCCGTAACAATCTACATTAATGCCCCGAATTCCAAAATCATTACGAAATGAATACAAACAGAAGAGATTAGAGCTCGCATCCGTGTTGATCCCTGTTCTATTGCCTTAAATGTGTAAAACGAAAACGCCATCAAACCGAGTAATATACAAATAATCGACAATCCGGATAGAAAACTCGTGACTAGAAGCCATTTTTAAATTTTTTATTCCTCTTCGACATATCCCGAAATGCTTAAATCGAGAGATAATTTATATTTTGTGCCAGTAAGAAGCATCAAAAGTGTACCTAAATTGTTGAAATAAGTCATGCTTATAAGGAAATAATTGTTTAAACTGCTTTCTATTATGTTTTCTACGGAGCTACAGAACAATGGATCGTCGCCTGTTGCAAATCTGTGCATTATTAACGTAATCAATTGTATAATGTTTATTAACTGTAAAAATTTTTCAAGAATCGACAAGTATTTCTTGTGTTTTTCGCTTAGCCGTTGGTGTCTACAACGTATATATATATCGCCGAAAAGTGTAGAAAGATTTAATACTGGGTAAATCATACAATAAACCAGTGGCGTGTCGTGACATTTAATGACAGGGAAGCTGCGTTTTTGTAAGAAGGCGACATCCAGGGGCAATCTGTCAATCGCGCGTCAGTGATAGTCTAGGGTTCATTCGTATTATTTATTCGATAAGCCAGTAAAATCCGCAGACTTCTCTAATTGTATTTTTAATATCACAATCACATTTCGAGTCGCTAGCCACGATATAAGGACTACAATTAAAAATAAAATAATAAAAACTTACTTGTTAAAATAAAATGTGTGATGGATATACAATTATACATACCTGATACAAAATATTCAGTTGTATGAATATACTTTTAAAAATAATTATAATTAAATATAGCTTTGTAAAGAAACGTAATTCTAATATATAATCGAGACGGGTTGATGATAATAATAATAATAAACGCAGAGCCCATACGGTTAGGGGATACGTTACGAAAACGCACACTAAGAAGGGATTTTTCGAAATTCCTCCCCACAGAAGAGAGGAACAGGATTAAGGCTTAACACTTCCATCACCAATGGAAGTGTTAAGTAACAATGGAAGTTTTAAGTAACAATGGAAGTGTCAACACTGGAAGTGTTACGTAGCAATGGAATTGTTAAGAGAAAGCGACATGTAAGACGCAGATGCAGTTTTTTTTCGTTTTTGCCAGAAGACTCATCTAAAAATTCAATATTCATTACTTTTTAATTCTTAAAACAATGCGCTTAGTTAAATAGATCCCTACTAGTGGCTAATGGATGGAATCGAAGACGGTTGTAGAACGTGCATACACGCGGAATGCCAAATCCCGGAATGTCAAATACCTCTTTTGTCGCATCACTAGTATATCTCAAAGGAGGCGACAGGGTTGTTGTAGATTTTAAACGTTTCTCACCATAGCAGTAAAAATCTAAATATGTTAAACTTTATAGTCATTTGTTTTCTAACTAATTCTTTTTAGGACCAGGGTCCACGGAAATTTCCAAAATCTACAATTTTCCGGTCACTGTCATTGAACTAGAAAAATAATTTCTGTGTTTCTTATCTAATATTACGAATAAATCAATCCCCACCGTACTCGGTAAGCTTTTGTTTAAGTAAAATTTCGGCTCCTTCAGCAGAGTTTTATTTATGTCCCTAATCACTTAATTATTTAACTTCTTAAGTAGAAATAAGTCGAAACCGGTTTCTTCGCACTTGAATATTTGTAGTATTGGCAAAGAAGTGAAAAGACAAATTTTTATGACAACCGATACATAAATCGTATATTTAAGGAAAATAAATTCTATAGCTTTTTTTCTAGTTTGTGCATCTCATTCATTAAATTTAGTCGTAAATGATGGTACCAAAGTAACA